CTGCTTACAAGAAGCATAGGTTGCTGGGGATCTCTGTTCTTACCAGGAATCCACTCCGGGTTTCCATTGTTATGGGCTACAGATTTGAGATCTTCTTGCCTCTGTGTTTGTTTCTTGTTTAATTCTGCACTCAGCAATATTCCTGCTATGTGAAGGAAGCCTGTAAATAATGGAGTCTGGCCCAAACAATCCAGTGATTGATATCATGACAAATCACAGACCCAATCCATTAAGTCGCCTCTACCAGCAGAGGTTGATAGAGACCAATTCTAACCCGGAATCACAGAGGGTCTTCCTTTCCTATGCATCGACTGTTGGAACATTATCATCAAGAGAAATATAAAAACAAGTAACCATGGTAACTTGTCATTTAAAAAAACAAATTAAATTCAAGCCATAGTCTCAATTTGAATAAAGAACTAAAAAGAATTTTTCAATATGATCTTGTTTTTACACCATTTTTCTCTGTTGCTATCATGAAATATGACATACAGAATGCTACTTCATGACATATGATATATATTAATGCTACTTCATGACATGATATACATTAATGCTACTTCATGACATATGATATATATTAATGCTACTTCATGACATATGATATACATTAATGCTACTTCATGACATATGATATACATTAATGCTACTTCATGACATATGATATACATTAATGCTACTTCATGACATATGATATATATTAATGCTACTTCATGACATATGATATACATTAATGCTACTTCATGACATGATATACATTTATGCTACTTCATGACATATGATATACATTTATGCTACTTCATGACATATGATATACACTAATGCTACTTCATGACATATGATATACATTTATGCTACTTCATGACATATGATATACATTAATGCTACTTCATGACATATGATATACATTAATGCTACTTCATGACATATGATATACACTAATGCTACTTCATGACATATGATATACAGTTATGCTACTTCATGACATATGATATACATTAATGCTACTTCATGACATATGATATACATTAATGCTACTTCATGACACATGATGCTGCTCACGTGGAAATAATCATTAACTTTAAACTGGGATTTAACCTTGTACTCACAGCGAGACAGAGTGTGAGTGAGTGTGTTTAGTCCGGACTAAAGCTGGTTTCATATTCCTAGCCCACTGAGATACCATGCCACAGTTTAACATGAATTCCCCACTTAGACACACCATACGCTGAGCCGAACAGTCCTTGTTTTAGCCCCTTAATGCCAAGTGCCAGGCAGGGTAACAACAAGTGCCATCTTCTAAAGTCTTTTGCTATGACGCATCTGTGGACCTTCCGCTCTCCAGGCGGACGCTCTACCACTAGACCACGGAGGCGCCATTCAGCGTATTAATATATATGCTGCCGTATTGGGTGAGAGCTTGCTTGTACTAGTCTGAACTAATACCAATTTTATAGGGCTTTCACACAGTGATACCATGCCACAGTTTAACATAAATACCCCACTCAGTATACTGACTCCAAGTACCTTGTGCCCCTTAATGTAGAGTGCCAGTCAGGGCAACAACAAGTACCTTGTGCCCCTAATGTAGAGTGCCAGTCAGGGCAACAACAAGTACCTTGTGTCCCTTAATGTAGAGTGCCAGTCAGGGCAACAACAAGTACCTTGTGTCCCTTAATGTAGAGTGCCAGTCAGGGCAACAACAAGTACCTTGTGCCCCTTAATGTAGAGTGCCAGTCAGGGCAACAACAAGTACCTTGTGTCCCTTAATGTAGAGTGCCGGTCAGGGCAACAACAAGCACCATGACATGAACCACTAACTTTCCGCTCTATGGGCAGACACTCTACCACTAGACGTCCCGTATATTAGCAGTGGGACGACACACGAGATGGGACGACACACGAGATGGGACAATAATGTTCACATTTCTTCATGACTATGAATGCATTCCTTCTGACTTAAATGTCTGAACAAAGATAAAACTTCAGTCAACTTCATATGCATGACCACATTGTTGTATACGTGTATCTAAATGCATTTTGCCAGGGCTACTGTCAAACTATTCCCAATCGGATATTGTGTACCTATCTCTTGACACCAGCAGCGGGTAGGGTCGGGTAATATGGGTGTGGGTACCCAGCACTAAAACACTTGTGGGAAACTAACAACTGTTTTTTTATTTAATCTGGAATCCTTATTTAACATTTGATCATGATGAAAAAAAGAATACATATTGTCACGTAATCGATTAAGGAAGAGATTGGATTGTACATTTTCAAAATATTTCATGATTTGCAGCCAATCAGAGATGTAGAAGTGTGCTGTAAATCCTACAGCGCACATTGGCCGACTTTTCTGTAGCCCCAGTAGTGAGAATGTCACTGACATATGTGTACCACACGAGTGAGTTGGGTTGAACGTCGCTTTGAACGTTCATCCAGTTATATCACGGCGTGTCAGCTTGATGTGGTAGGAAAGCCCGAAGTGTTGCAGGTCTCAGGTGTTTACCACTTTGGTGAAACCCACGGGCATGAGTATGGTGCTGACAAACCTAGAAACATAATTGGAGCGAACCAGGATTTGAACCCACGATATTCCAATGGGTATTCCGAGGCATAACAGGTCTCCAGTACCCTATGCTTGTCTCTTAATGGGTATTCCGAGGCATAACAGGTCCCCAGTACCCTATGCTTGTCTCTTAATGGGGATTCCCAGGCATAACATGTCTCCAGCACCCTATGCTTGTCTCTTAATGTGGTTTCCCAGGCATAACAGGTCTCCAGTACCCTCTCTTTTTCTATTAATGGGGATTTCCAGGCACAACAGGTACCCAGTACCCTATGCTTGTCTCTTAATGGGGATTCCCAGGCATAACAGGTCTCCAGTACCCTATGCTTGTCTCTTAATCGGGATTTCCAGGCACAACAGGTATCCAGTACCCTATGCTTGTCTCTTAATGGGGATTCCCAGGCATAACAGGTCTCCAGTACCCTATGCTTATCTCTTAATGGGGATTCCCAGGCATAACAGGTACCCAGTACCCTATGCTTGTCTATTAATGGGGATTTCCAGGCACAATGGGGATTCCCAGGCATAACAGGTCTCCAGTACCCTATGCTTGTCCCATAATCGGGATTTCCAGGCACAACGGGTACCCAGTAACCTATGCTTGTCTCTTAATGGAAATTCCCAGGCCTAACAGGTACCCAGTATGTATTGCTTGTCTCCTAAGTGGTTCAGTTACTTTATACTAAATGTCCCCCTGTCAATCTGCAGCACTGAGTGGCGTAACAATACTGCATACAGTATAGACACATAAGACAAATTACCTTACGGGTTATATACATGTAAGTGTAAACATTTTAAGAATAACAGTAACTGTTCAACAACCAGCTTACACAGAGTCTCTAGGATTTACCGGTTGGTTATAAATAGTATCACATTCATATTGCCCTCTAGTCTACATGTTTCTGCCCTATAATATCCCACCTTCAGTGTCTGAAATTTAAAAAGGGTAATGATTCACTTGCATAAAAAAAGAACTTGTGAAGTAAAAGTCCTCTATCAGGATATGAATCGTACATCATCCATGGTTTCAGAAACTGCATTCCTACATCTCTTTGTTGCAGTCACAAGTGTTCAAAATATTCCATTACAAGCACACCTAGATTTAGTAAGGGCACATACACTACACAAACATGGCAGGTGTGTTTACTATGACAGGCTATTTAAAACCCCATTATCAGAGATCTACACCTTACAATAAATAAGAGTACAGCTTTAAACCGGACATCACTTTCCCATGGTTTTTTTCTTATAAGCATGGCAAGTAATTGTAATAATTTTTCGAATTACTTCCATCTTTCAAACTTATCTTTAAAAAAAATACCAGTAGATTTGATATATCATCTTCGATTATAATTCTGAATGATTATGATCCACAATTGTTTAATTCTCAAACAATTTAAATGTTTCGCACGGTACATCAAAAAGAGCTGTTGATGAAAAACTGCAACCCCAGCTGTCTATTTCAAATGTTGTAATAATATCACAAAATTTAAATACCAGTTTCTGTAATGAAATATGAATCAATGTGCCATATGCTTGGATTACATATCCTACTCATTAATAACAGAAACATACTTCAAATTTTGTCAAAAATATCTGCAGTATTAAGCAATATATTTATAGAAGTGACAAGTTTCCAGACCTATAACACAATTCCTCATTTGTTGAAACAGACTATAGGGCTTATCTGGTCACGTGACTGCTGCCTCATTGCTTGTGGTATCTCCACTATCTGACGACCACATGTTTAATCTCCACAAACGTAGATAGACAGATCACCTAGTAGAAACCTGTACTCGCAACAAATATATGACTAAATGTACAGCAACCCTTACATGTCATAAGAAATCTGCCTAACCGATATGAACACAATCCATCCTCCCCCTTGAATGAATTTGGTATCGCCCAGTGAGGTTGAAATCAAAGTTCAAACCCCCACTTCTATCTATGTAAATAAAGCGAGGTGAGAGATTATGTAGCTGTATAGGGGTGCTGTGAAGAGCTGGAAAGTTACGGACACAACTGCGGTTTATGTTGAAGACTGATTCAATACATAAGCGTCAGAATAAATGTCATATTTGAGCCGTTCATTTTGCCGTTTGTTGCGAATTGGGGGTGTGTCAAAAATACTACAACCACTGCCGAGCTAAAGACACAAGTTCCTCGTTTTGAGGCAAATAAATCCGATTGATTCTCAATATGGACCAGCATGTATGAAATCTGCAAACAGTGGTCATTCTTCGAGATATACGCAATATTGTCATCGTAAAAGCACTGCTCTGTTGTCGTCAAAATGCAATGCAAACTGGCCGGTGGCTCGAAATATCGCATGCATTTTAGCGCCATTTTCCCCAACACGTAGGCAGACTAAACGACAACTTGTTGACTTTCTAAAGTTGCAAATATCTAGGCGATCGCTTAAAGAACTTACCTTTCATATTAGTTGACATTCTTTTAACTCAGCATTCGTAAATTTTTCTTGAATCTCCCCGTACTAAAGGAATATTTAGAGTCAAAACACCAACATCAGGTTGAAGATAAAAATAACTCGCACTACTTGTTAGCTGGGAGACCGCTTCACTCCAACAGCGAAAAGTACATACGCTTATCTTTTGTTTCGGGGATGACAACGCTTAAAAACATGAAACGACATCGGACATAATCAATACGTGGTACATGAGATATTCTTTTCATACACAGTAGCTGATTAAAGTGTTGTCGTGAAGAAAATACCACGCACTATATTAGGTCAAATATGCGTAAGAACACAGGGTTGCCCGACCTACTTTTAAGGTCTTACTCGCTAGGGGGCGCGATCAGCGAGGTTTCCCCTAGCATGGTGAGGCATTTAATTTTTTACGAAGTTGAAAAAAAATATGTAAACCCGATCTCCCAACGGCTGCAGTTGCATTCTTGTTTCTTCAGCTAGGACATTGATATTTGAGACATCAGCATGTGCTATGTATTTGGACATATCTTATGCATGTCGCGTTGAGGCCTAACGGTAAACCTTACAAACAGGATTTTGAAGCCATTATAAGATGCATATAAAACGAAAAACGGTGGCAAGCATTGTAAAATTAGATCTATAGGATGTGATATTGAGACTATTGATATTTCCTGCGCAGTGTCATTTTCAAATATTTGCTCTCTCTCTCTCTCTCTCTCTCTCTCTCTCTCTCTCTCTCTCTCTCTCTCTCTCGTCATAAGAAAACACTGAGAATGTAATGTATTGGGAATATTTAATTTTCAAGCGATAATATTTAAAATACTCGTCTTCACATAACCCGAACTTTTCATCGAGTCGTACAATACGCTATAAGAGGGGTTTTTTTCTTGGTTCGAAAAGTTGTACCAGCAGTGCACAGGATGTATTCATATCCGCGAAGTATCGGTATTAAAGATAGCCAGCAGGTTTGTCAGAAAGAATAACAAGATAAGATATTCACACATTCTCGAAACTAACCATGTTGCCCAGTTGCACAGTTTGACTAGCTGTGACAGCCGGCTGCGTCGTCGCAACTGCTACAAATAAGCGCAGCAGAGATCGCGACTGTTTACCTCATATATTTTATTAATAATGTGTGTCCTATTTTCATTACAGTCAATGAATTCACAACTGTTTATAACTACTAGTAAACATAATGCAACTAGGTATGATTCATGATAAATGTTTAACTAAATTAAGCGAAATGGGTTTTCAAAACTAGAGAGTGGTAGAAAATGTGTATATGCTTAACACTGCGCCTTTTTAATATTTTCTACGACATAGCTTGTTTATTTATGAATATCCTGTGTACAAAAAACGTGTGACTAAAATGATTTTCACATTTGAAAGCTAGTCCCCTTACATATTGTAAATCACACCTTCAAATATCGCAATATTAATAACGCAATTTATGCCATGCATGGTATCACATCTTATGTTATTAATAATATTTATATCACTGAATGATGAATACACGCCACGTGCAACATGCCATGAATCATATTTGTCTACGGAATATCCCTCACCTGTTCTTGACTGGAATTCCCCTGCCTCTGAGAAAATATTGGCAGGCGTGGCGATTTCATTCATCGGTTAACTGGGTTACGTAATGACACAACAGTAAATAAATCCCATGTAGCACGCTGCGCATCTCAGGGTGCCTAAACCAGTCAACTCGTCCCGCATCACACATAGGCGTCGATCTCGTAAACAAATCATTTCATGTGACTGAGTATCCCAGGAAACACACAAACTGACCCAAAAATAGTTAGAGAGAGAATTCCCCGTCGATGACCCCAAAATGAGCTAGCTTGTTCCACTGACCCAAAGACACGACTCAAGCTGACCTCGCGTTTATTGATGTCAATGACAGCCTTTGATGTTTGCCGGCAGTGCGGGGGAGGGGGCGTGGTTACGTCATTGTCTACTGAGTGTTATTGGTACATATATGGACAGAAGGAAGTGTAGATGTTTAAGTCTGAGGACTTGACTCGTCGTCTTGGGGTTGGTGTACCTAGCATCGATTGGACTCGCAGTTAGATGCCGTGTTATCATCTATATCGTGTATTGACACGCTTTCGTTGCTTTCGGTTTCTGAGTAGCTACAGTGAGCACCGGTTTATCTGGAAACTCGCCAGCCTGGCGAAGAAAATGACTTTTGGAACATATATGCAAAGGGTTAACGCTCCATACAAGTTTTGTTAAACGGGACACTTGTTAATCTGGACATTTTGCCTGAAGTGGTGCTATTCGGATTGACGAGGTTTAAAAGTAGCAGTACATTACCCGTCATATGTACAGTGTATCGCAGAGACTGTAATATCAACTAGTTTGTTTAGCATTTTTTATTTTTTATGACCTATACATTCATTCATTAAAATAAACAAATAAAACATTATTGTCCTATAGGGACACCCTGTTAATCAAGAAAGACACGTATTGAGTGAGTGAGATGTTTTTTTTTTACCGTTTTCAGCAATATTCCAAAAATATTACCACGGGGACGCCAGAAATTGGCTTTAGACATTTACCTATGGGGAATCAATCCCGATCTTTCGGCGTGACGAACGGGCCCTTTAACCACTGGGCAACCCCACCTCATGAAGTATTAAGTGAGTATTGCTTTTGGCAATATTCCTGCAATATCAGGGCGTGGGACATCACTGGGCTTCACACACTTGGGCATCGATCCCGGGCCTTAGACGTGACGAGCAAACACTTTAACTACTAGGCTACCCCACGACGAGATGAGACCCGTGAAGATTCCGGGGTAGAATAGGTCTTCAGCAACCCATGCTTGCCGTAAAAGGGTGACTATGCTTGTCGTAAAAGGCGACTATATAACGGGATCGGGTGGTCAGGCTCGCTGACTTGGTTGATGCATGTCATCGATCCCAACTTCTTGGATCGATGCTCATGATGTCAATCACTGGATTGTCTGGTCCAGACTCGATTATTTACAGACCGCCGTCATATAGATGGAATATTGCTGAGTGCGGCGTTAAACAACAAATAAACAAACAAACACACATGACGAAATGATATGGTCGCATAGAAACGGCTGTGGTCAGCTGACTGAATATAATACCATTACAGTGCATTCTCTGGGCAGTTAATATTGAATCCCGCTGCAGCCATCTTCGATCTTGGCGAGAAGTTGTGTCGTTTTATCTATTACTGCTGCGGAGCCAGCCCAACACTCCCTGCACATTCACAGCTCAATTAATCTGCGCTCATTAATCATTGATCGTAATTAGTGCATGCGAACACGTACTTAAGTTACGGGATGGCTGAAAAATAAATGATGAATGGTAATATTCGTCTGGAGACTGTGTTAGATTATTTTGTCACATTTCTTCTATTTCCCTGTATGTTCAAATAAAATGATCGATAATCACACAGCCATTGATGCGTAAAACGATGGCGGCCACCGCTTAATATGACACCAACTCCCACGCTGTTTCATTACTGTTATGGTCGACTCAAATTTGTGGATGTGTCGAATTCCCGGTCATCTCGAACCAAAAATATTAGTTACAGCTTTCCCTGATAAGTCGAATTCAACTGTTTTCAGTTCGAGACAAGGGAGTTCGACTTTACAAGGGGCCAGTTAAGCTCCATTTTTTTTATATGTTGCATTCATATATTATATTTTATTAAAACGTCATCTATATTTATATCTTCATCTATTCGTTGGGTAGCCCAGTGTTGAAATTATTCGATCGTCACGTCGGAAGCCCGGGTTCGATTCTCACACTGGTACAATGTTTGATACCCATTTCTGGTGTTCCCCGTCGTGATGTTGCTGGAATATTGCTAAAAGCGGCGTAAAACCATACTCACTCACTCTTCATCCGTTCATGCATTCTCTTCACATGTCACTACCTATATGCATTGGGACAGTGTTATAATTTACGGACTTTAGATTGAAGATGTTTTCTATAAAATAATATCTGTATTTTTGAATAACATTCAGTGAATGTCCCAGAGCATGAACCGATCTGAAAACCCTGATATAATTATCTTCTCTACATGTTTGCATACAGTCGTGAAATATATGTAAAATGGTTTTCATCAGCTTTCCATCCATTCTTCTATGCAGATATTAATATCAATACAGTACACTACGGTTATAACGAACACGCTTATAACGAACTGACGGATATAACGAACTTACTTTTTTGGTCCCGACTATTTGCTGTAGTTATGCTGTATATATGCTTATAACGAACTACGGTTATAACGAACAAATATTAGTAGTCCCTTTGAGTTCGTTATAACCGTACTTTACTGTATTTTCATTCAATATATTACATGAAACGCTCTTGTAATTTATTTTATCGCCCAATTAGTAAATATATTTATTTTTATCATCACATTCATTTATCAAAATATATTATTTCCAAGTTTCCAAATCTCATGGTTTGAGAAAAAGGGTAAACTGCACGATGTTCCCTTGGCGTGTAAACTGTATCGCACATTGTCTGTCTGTGAACTCATCAGCAATGGCGCTTAAAACTTACATTTTTTCGTTCATACATGTTATTCATAGACCTGTAAATAACATATGTCTGCAAGGTAATTGTTCAAATTCGTTCATATGAGCGTACAGGGATCACTTCTGCATGCAGCAAAACTTTACCGCGAGCGACCATGTGCAGTTGTCAATTTCTTAAGACAACAATGGCGTTGGCATGCTGGTAGGCACTCATGAATGATTGACAGCGACGTCCATCTTGTAATGACAGATCGGGCAAGCTCCATGCACGTCTAATCGGCCAGCTTTCTAAAATGCGATGTTGGTGGCGATCTATAAATAGATTTCCCATTATTCACATTTTGTTGGTGACAGAACATCCGCAGGCTGTGGAAATATACAATGCAAAATAAATGTGATAAGCAAACGGAAGCGTGACGCAAAATACATCACTCTCATGAAGCGTGCAACACATTCGAGGGGAGACAACTGCTGTAGGGTTATAGCAGTAAATATATATTATTCATGGTCCGTTACACTTGAGCGAAGCTGATTGCGCAGCGTACTTATGCGTGGAGAGAAAGACCAATACCCGATCCCCTGACG